GCAAGCACCTTGCCACATTTCTTTAGATTTTTCTGACAGCTTTAGTAGTTATGAACCCCAATTATCATTAAAATGAATGCTTTATTAATGTGCATCACCAATAGCGAATGGTACTCTGTAATTACTTTGTTTTCTTAGAGACAATTGATATGTTTTGAAAACAATATTCACTCATTATCCAGGTTATCCTGACCTCTGCTTATTACGTTTCCCCCATCATTCACTCACAGAGTAAAGTGTAAGTAATTGCCATTCAGTATTAGCGTTAAGCTTTGCTCCCCGTCCAGGGAATCAGACGTTGCCACCTCTCCTCTCTCAGGAACTTCTTATTAACTCCCTTAAATAGGAATAAGCAGGCTAAGTCAATGAATTAAATCAGGATTGTCTACAGAAGCCAACTCTGCACCTCACTGCCTATTCAGATAGATTCATTAAGTGTCTGCTGTACATGCATTGTTGGATGTGTTTCACTGTTTGGTTGCATGAGGGCACAAGGCGCCAAGGGTGTGTAATTGATGGAGACAGATAGCAGTCAGAGGAAATCAGTTCCAGTTTGGTAAGCAGTCCATTGCTATCATGGCTGACAGAAGAAAACAGAAAGGTGCAAAAGCAGCAGCGAGATCCCTACTTTAGCTCTTCTGGTCATAGAGAATACAATCCTAATACTGCAATGCATTGAAAAATAATCCTTCTTGTACATGACTTAGTTTCCGCTTTTTTTTGTCACACTTCAATGTTTCGCATGATCAAGCAATTTTTATTATCAAACTTAACCTGAGTAAACACAAAATGCAGTTCTCAGGTGATGATTTCATTGATTAAGGGAAAAAAAACTTAGACCTATGTAAAAAGTATTTGCCCCCTAAACTTAATAACTGGTTGTGTCTTCCTTGCTAGGAACAACTGCCATTAAATGTTTGCAGTGACTGAGAATTAATATTTTATATCACAGTGAATGAGTTTTGTCCTACTCTTCTTTGCAGAATTTGTTTTTTTAATTTGGTCACACTGTAAGATTTCAAGCATAAAGAGCCCGTTTAAGGTCATGTAACAACAACTTAATCAGATTAAGGTCCTGACTTTGACTAGGCCACTCCAAAACATTCATTTTGATTTCTTTTAACCATTCAAATGGTGGATTTACTGGCATGCTTCAAAAACTTTTCCTGCTGCATAACCCAATGGTGACTGGGTTTAAAGTTGCAAAATAATGGTCAGGGGATGAAGATTTTATGCTAAAGAGCATAAATTCCAGAGAGTCATCCAGATGTGATGGGACGGACAACTTCCAAAAAAGTTCATTTGTCACCTGGTCAGTCCACAGAATTTTTTATATTTTTTGCTAAATTTCAGATTGGCTTTGTCTTCCTTTTGGTCCACACTGTTTTTCTTTTTCATGGAAATCTTTCATGGATAGAGGCAACTAATGCCTTGAGTGCTTCAGATGTTTGGTCGGCTGACTGTCCCTAGGAGGGTTGATTACTTTTCCATAATTTCTCTTTTTTGCTATAATGGCACTCATTGTAGTTTGCTTGATTCTCAAAGCCGTTGAAATGGTTTTCTAAACCTTTCCAGATTGCTCAATTTCAGTGACTTTTGTTTCTCTTCTGTTCTTCCATTTCTTTCGATTGGGGCATAATGCAGTCAGGCAGTATTCATACCTGGGTGTGGCTAGTCAAAATAAGCTTATCTTTCGAAAGAATATGCAGATGTGCAGTTAATAATGATTTCACAAGAAGGAAAATAAACACATTTTCTGCTTTACACTTTTCTATGTTATTTGTGACAATCAAATAAAATGTTAAAACTTTTACATTTAAAGAGTATAATTTTCCTTTTTGCAATTATTGTAATTAATACCAATGCTGATGGTAAAATAAGCTGGGTAGACTATTTAGCATGCATAGGTGAAGATGACAGGCGTGCACATACGCCATGCCTCCATATTTGCAATGTGGCAAACAAATGCCTCCCATCTCTTAAGCTTTCTGCAAACAGGGCTGTCAGGTGGATATTTACATATGGAATAGATGAGCTATGATCTGGCATTGCACTTCGACAAAAATGTGTTGGAAGCATTCAAAAAAATCTATGTATGCTTTAGAAAAACAGGTATTTAATAACAGGAAAGTATGACGTTATCATAAAACATTTATTTTTCAACTTTATTTTTTTAACATTAGCATATCGTCAGTTGATGTTGTCTCACTGCATTGCACAAAAAGGTTTTTTTAGGACATAAATAAGTTCTCCTCCCTTAGCAGCAAAATGTCTAAAGTTGATTATTCTAAAGGTGCCATTATAATTCCTCTGGAGAGGACAGAGCAACTGCAGACGTACTTGTGCCCAAACATCTGACAAAATGTTTCTTCTGCTGGACATGATCAAAATACTAATCAAACATCATTTACAGCTGGCTTTATTCGAGACTCCTGAGAGGCTGTCCCGTCCTGCTTCTTTGCCATGGTAACCAGAGATTCATTTCAGAGGTGTCATGCTGCATTATCATCTCACCGGCTCATCCAGTACCCTCCACCCTCTTGCTCGCATGCTTTTGTCCCCTCTCTGTTCAGACCCCTCAATCTCAAACATGCCCGGCATCCTGAAAGGAAAACATCGCCTATCTTGCTCAAGCTCAGATAAGACACCGATTTGATTTCTCTGCCTCGGCACGCATGCAGAAAGAGACACACTGCATGCAGAGTAGCAGTGGACACAAAAAAACAGCTACATACATCCCCACCTCCAGAGGATTCACATATTATAGCATATGTTAAAAAGGAAGCAGTCTGACATGTCTTGAAAGTGTGTTATTGCCTTTCAGAAATTTAAAAACTCGAGAAAGATTTGTACTTATAAATGTGCTTCCGTTCTCAAGCCAACTTTTTGCCGGGGGACCTGTGTTTTTGGATTCAATCACCATCTGATCTGGTTCATCATAGCTTGCAACTTTTCTCATGCAATCAAGGAGTCTCACTCCTAGATAACTGTTTGCTTTCAGTGACAACATCTCCTGTACAGTTTTAATGAACTACAGATGTTTTTGACTCTTGATCGTTTTGCAGAGGGTCTTTGTGAAGATTATCATTTTCTCTCCACAACCATGATCTTCATTATAACTCAATATCCACACAATTTTGTATTTATTCTTTCTTTAATTTTTATGTTGTCTTTCTTGTATCTTAACTCTTTCATGGTATAAAATGGCTAACTGAAGCCCGATTCTGTGTGCCTGTCTTAGATTACCTGTTAATCTCAGACAGCAGTCTAGTACTACATTCAAACAATGCATCAATAAAAATCAGTTTTCAAGTATTTGTATGTAAACAAAATTTATTTAAGCCCAAATATGAAAAGCAAAATTATCTTTATGATTTATGAATGTATTTCTCAGAGAAGACTCAGACTTTTTACTTAATGCTCAAAGGGATCTTGCCAAATAAAGAAACGAACACATGCCAAGGGCTTAACTTTTGTGAAAAAAAGGTTTTCTAAAGCTTCAGTTTTTTAAGACACTAATCACTGTCTTTAAATATGACAACACTGCTCCACCACTGTTCCTGAGACTCTTTTAAATACACTGAAGAATTTTATAACATCAAAATTAGAAATAATGTCTTAAAGTGTAAGAATAAACCATCAAACCTTAATTGCAATAAATCTTACGATTAGCCTAAATTATAAAGCTTATATTTTTGTTGTTTGAAATTAACGGGGGTTAGCTGAACACATCTTTAGGACAAGCAACTAAAATTGTACACACTGAAAACAAATTTACTGTGTAACACATTGGGATGAGCGTTGCCTGGGATGCAGGCAGCACCTCTTGCAGTAATGAAAGCAACTGAAATGCAGAAGCAAAGAATTAGGGTTTTTATTAGTAGAGATGCTAACAAAAATGTTGCTAGGTGTGTTGCAGGTTTGATGCGAGAACAACAAATACTAACCCCCACAAACAGAGATTAAAATGTTGAAGCTGTGAAATGTGACTGTGCTTCGTAAAATCCTCTTGAATAATCTTATGACTTGAATAAACGGCAGTGACACGGCAGTCAGGGGAGGCAGGTCATCATGACAATGATAAGTGAAAATCAATTTGTCCATTCCATAGTTCTATAAATAATTTTTTTCTATGATTTAAACTTTTTTATGGTCAAAATCGGTGAATTTATGCCATACCGATTTAAATACATGGTAGAAAAGCTGTGCGTCACCTGACTGATGCAGGCAGTTGGATCATGCCCATTGCTATCTCTCTTTATTTCACCAATATGCATGCTGGATAACACATGTACTAAACATGCCAACGTTCCACAGTCTTTCTAATTTATTTAATAAATGTGTGTGACATATTTTATCTTTCTAATTGGCCATAATTGCGCATTAACAATGGACAGGGTGAGGCAAAAAGTACCATACTGATAGGGGGCAGTGCTGAGCCCCACTGGCACAGACAGTTAACAGCACGTTGCTAAGTACTCTTCAGCTACGCACAGGGCAGGTGTGTTTTCATTGATAAAACATGTAAACCATACTCTTATTTAAATTTGGAGTGGTACACCCAAAAAGAGTGAGGAGTACACGGATTCAACTTGGCATTGAACAGACAGCACAGACTGATCATTAGCTTCCATGGACTTCATATACAAATAAAGATAAGATCATACACAATTTTCAATAAAAAAAAAAAAGGTCAGCCTAAAAATTATTTTAAAAAATCTATTTTGACCTAATATGAAACCTACTGTGGTATTGTTGAACAGTATAGAATTGATTTAGAACAAGGAAATGATTCAATTAAGGTCGATATCAATTAATCATTTGTACATCTGACTCCAGAGGAGTCTGTGCGTGTCGAGTCATGAACCCATCGCACGTCACTTAATATACAACACACAAAATGCCAGTATTGGAGGTATTCAATAGTCCCACTCCGTCTCCAATTGCAGGCTTTTGTAAACTTTGTCATTTGGAATATTTAAAATTTTAATAAATGGGGCTGCATGGTGGTGCAGATGGTAGCACTGTTGCTTTGCAGCAAGAAGGTCCTGGGTTCAACTCCCTGCTGGGGGTCTTTCTGCATGGAGTTTGCATTTTCTCCTCGTGCATGTGTGGGTTCTCATCAGGTACTCTGGCTTCCTCCCACAGTCCAAAAACATGACTGTTAGATTAACTGGTCTCTCTAAATCGCCCTCAGGTGTGAATGAGCGTGTCCATAGTTGTTTGTCCTGTATGTATGTCCTGTGGTGAACTGGCGATCTGTCCAGGGTGTACCCTGCCTCTCGCCCATAGCCTGCTACAGATAGGCACCAGCTCCCCCATGACCCACTGTGGAAGAAGCTTCATAGAAAATGAATGAAAATATAAAAAGACATTACACTCAAAATTTGCCTCCCCCCTCCCCCTTTCAGCAAAGGTGTCTTTGTTGAAACCACCTTTAGATTTAATGCCAGCATTCAACTTTGGGTACACACCTGATTTTCTTGACATTTACTCATTTGCATGCCTTAGCTAAGTAAAACATGCAAAAGATGATTTCTCTTTGCAAAGGTATCATTCATGGGGAGGGGTACAAAAACATCCACAGTATTGCACATTTTGCACAGGTGGCTCAGGAAAGATAGTTGTCCACGACAGGAGGAAAAAAAGGACAACAGTTAATTACCAAAACTTTGGCAATTAGCCACCACTGTAATACTTTCACCAACAAAGACCTATCTGTGGCCAGTGTTCATAGGACAACAAATCTGTGAAAGCTAAATGATTAGCCCTTTGCTTAAGAATCAAAATATGACACAATATGAAAAAATTCCAGTTCAAACAACTCAAAAATAATAATTTTAATGAGTATTGATACATCAGATTAAATGAAATGGTTCTTTAACATTTAGGTGTGAATGCAAGTCAAAGAAAAAACAACTAAACATGGAAGTTTAGGGATTAGAGTAATTCCTAAAAAAAATCCCAGGGAAGAAGAGCTCTCTTTCAATCAAGTTAAATAAATGAATACATGGATAAATATGAATGAATGAAATAAATGAATGAAAGTAAATCTGATTAAACTACAAAGCTTACAATAAACAAAGGGATGAAAAGGTTTATTTTTCTTGTTTTTAGTGGTAAGTCCAGGACAGAAATTATGTCTTTTAAGACAACTGCTGACCCGACACTACATAAAAAAAAATGTAATCATTATCAGTTTTGTTCCATTTTATTCCATATTTTACAGTGCAAAATCTGACTCTGGTTCTGACTTTACCAACATGTTCAGCGGACACTGCACCCCGTGAGCTTTGAATGGGTCATTACATTAAACTACATTTACCAATCAACCCTTTGGTGAGAACGGTGCGCCCTGGAGCAGCCGACACAGAGCGGGCGGTCTGATGGTCTACTGTATTAGCAGGTTAATTGTCTCGTCTTGGTCCTGGATTGTGAGCAGGACATTTTACTTTAATTGTGAACCATCTGCAGCCTGCCACTTGTGCACGGTGGGGACATTAAATGTTGGAGATGGTCTTATGCATTTGATTCAAAGCTGGTCTCTTTTCAGACATCTGAGTTGGTAGTGTGCTGCCATCTGTTGGCATTCCTGAAAACTGCTGTTTGGAAACAATGGAGTCCACACAAAGGACAAATGCTTTTTAGACTGAAGCTGTACTCAATCTGTAGTCAATCTTTAACATTCACTTACATTGGTGACTCGCAAGAGGAATCTGGGAAACCACTTTATGCATAAAAAAAGACACCTCCTGACTATGTAACAATATGTTTATGCAAATGCATCTGTTTTCTAGATGGTATTGCAAAAATATGTTCGAAAGTTGAGGAATATGCCTGTTGTTTTATTTTCAATTAAATTCTGAAGCTGCATTAAGCATTTCAGGTAAATAACAATGAAAAATACAGAAACTAAGTATGGCTGTGTGTGCAGCACCTCATGCAGGGACAGAGACTTACGCACAACAGTGTATTCACTGCAACAATAAGAAAAAACTAACAAAACAAAAGTACATTTTTTCAGTGAACTTTTAGGTTATCATTGGCAAACTTCAGGTCTATGAGAGCAAATGTCTGACTGCCCTGACAGCGATCAACATATAAACTACAGAAAACAAGTTAATAAATGAGTGGACTCTCAGTGTGCTCCCCTCCTCACAGACGCATTTTAATGGCTCAAGCTGCTCTACATGTCCCCCTGCATCAGAGTGAAAGCTCAGCTAAAATCATGGGTGACTGCTTCCGAATGATCCACTGTGATAAACCGACTGCCACATAAACACAGGCACAAAAAACAAAAAAACCCATGACATGCACATAAACCCTTCTTGGTTGGATGCACCTCATATATAGCAAATCGTTTTATAAGATGTAATTTACTGTGATGCAAATGAACCAGAGGGCCAGAGTGAAAGAACAGTTTGTCAGGACAGAATAAGGTTAAACTTTATGAAGTTTATTTTTATTGTTTTGTTTTCTTTCACATTTACCTACTTGTGGGTCAGTAGATGACAGCTAGAAAGCCTTCTGTTCAGGTGAGATCTAGTTATTTGAATGTCTCCAAACATCTGCTGCTTTCACAAAGCAACATCCATCAGTGGCCTCAAACAAAGAAAAAAAAAAACTATTTTGGAAAATTATTTAAGAAAACTAAGCTATGTTGCCTAATTAAACACTAACAATTTTAGTAGCAAATATGGGACAAAACAACAGGCATGTCCATGCAAAATAATTATTTAAAATCATGATGAAAACTTACAGTTAGTCTGATTGTATCATTCAGTCTCAGTCAGTATAATTCATCTGCCAGCATTGTACAGTACAATATAGTTCCCCTTTGGCATATACAGACTCTTGCAAAAGTATGAATAACTATGGAACTTATTCACATTCTTTCATAGCCACAAATTTCAATAGGTTTTATTGGGGTTTTATTTGATAGAACTACACAAAAGTAGAGCATAATTGTGAAGTACATCGTTTTTAGATATTTTTTACAAAAAAACAATAACTTTGGACTAGTTTGGCTTGGTTTTGCATTCAGACCCTATGAGTCAAGACTTTGTGGAGCTTTTATGAAAATAGATCAAATTCACTCAGATTGGATTTATATAGACTGTAAAGAGCAATTATCTCATCTTGCCCTAAATTTTGCCACAGATGGGCTTTTGGTCTCGAGTTTGACTGGGCCATGGATGTGCTTTGATCAGAACCATTCCATTGAAGATTTGACTGTAAGTTTAGGGTTCATGTCCTGGTGGAAGGTGAATTTCTACCCCAGTCACATGTTTTTTTTTTTTTGCAGGCCTCTAAAATGGTTTCCACCAGGGCTGCCCTGTTTTAACTATGTCAATCTTTCCATCAACTCCACCAACTTCCCTATTCTTGCTATAAAGAAACATCCCCACATTATGAAACTGCCACCACTATCTTTGTTTTGGTGCTGATGGTGTGCTCATGGTGATGTGCAGTGTTAGTTTTCTGCCACACATTGTTTTGCATGTAGGCCATTAGGTTCAGTTTTGGTCTCTTCTGACTAGAACACCTCCTCACGTGTTTGCTAGCTCTCCTTCAAGGCTTGTGGCAAACTGCAAACAGTTCTTCTTATGGCTTTTTCAGTAATGGCTTTGTTTCTTTTCAGTTTTTACAGACCAGATTTGTGGAGTGTCCAAACAATAGTTGTCCTCTCAACATATTTTCCCCCCTGAGGTGTACATCTCTGAAGCTCCTCCAGAGCTACAATGTGTATCTTGACTACTTCTCTGATTAATTGTAGGGTTGCAGTTGTGCAATACTCCTTACATTTCAGAAAATGGATTGTGCAGCACAGTACTTTGTGAGAAGTCCAAAAGCGTGGGACGTTGTTTTATAACCCAAATCTACTTCGAACTTCACGACACCTTTAATTTTCACCTGTGCTGTGTTCCTCAGTTTTCAATTGTATTTATACAGAGATTATTTTGATATGGTGAGATTAAATTGCAGTAACTAAGAACTCACTTACTTATTAGGGGACTTCTAAAGGACATTGGTTTGACAGGATTTTATTGTAGGGGTATGAAAATAAAAATGCAAGGGATTGTTTTCCAGATTTGTATTGTACAAATTGTACTGCACTACTTTGTGTTACTCAATCACCTAAAATCCTGAACAAAGTACATTAAAGTTTGGGGTTGTAATGAGACAAAATCAGAACAAGGTAAAGGACTAAAAGCACTTCTCTAGGCATATCTATATACAGTTCACTTTTCAATATTTAAATGGTTTCTTGTTGGATATGTAAGAATGAAAAAAGTTTTTAGTTATTGAATAATTATGGTCATTTCTAAACTTTTTAAAATGTGTGTTTATGATAAAAAAATTTAGCACAAGCAAAGATGTGAAAACATGATCTTCCCTTCAGTTGTACAGCTTCAAATCTTACCTGTTACTCTGCTACCATCTAGAGGTTAAAACGTGTAACTACGTGTAACTACGTGTATATTCTTCAGCCATACACCCACACTGCTACATTATTTTAATGTGCAGCTAGGACACGTTTCAATACTATCAGACCCAGTCCATTTGAGAAAAAGGAATTTTATTCTGCTGACATTAAACCATAGCTTTGTTCCAAATAATAATGAAAAATCATGTTAATTTTCACAGCACTTTTGTTGTAACATGTGGAGTGCTAGTATACAAAATAAATTCACTCAAGGAGTCAATGACAGAGATTAAAACAGTTGTTGTTTTTATTATTATTCAGGGAATCATATATACACTTAAGGTGATGTGGTTTCCTGGGAGTGGCTGCAGTGGCTGTTAGGCTGAAAGAAAATGGCTATCTCAACATAAAGTCAATGCACAGATAAGATAAATACATCCATCTTTAAATTCAATACAAGCAGATGCAGAACACCTTTATCGTCACTCATCAGTTTTATATGTTTTATTTTATACACTGCGCTTTACAAATCATTTTGTAACATTGTACAATTAATCTGATACTGTTTCTATATGTTAAAACTGGGGGTTATACTGTCAGGAGCTGCAATCACCTGATGCTACTGATGCTTTGAGGCAGACTTTAAAATGGGGCAT